ATCTATCCAAAAATGAAATTACAGAAATCACAAAGGTTAGTCAATAGGATCTGCACATAGATTTGTTTTGCCTTTAAAAAAAATGGAAAGGATGGAGGTAGGAGTATATATTATTAGTATATTCCTTAAAAAAAAAATCTAGCCCCTGTGATGTCTAGGACTGGGCTCCAGTCACCCATCAGGACACAGTGCTCCCAGGACCTTTGACACCTGGGCATCTGAGGGGGCTTGGGGGGAAGGGGAATTAATTCAACTTAAGGGAAAGTTTACAAATCTTACTGGGCTTTTTTCAGACAAACATTCATATGTAGCAATTAGCAGTAGCTGATGCAATTAATTAAAATGTCTAAACAGACCCTTATTGTATATTGCTACTCCCTTCGCCCATCTTCTGTTTATTCATTGTCCTTTTCTTACTTCCCACTCCCAATTAACCCATAAGGATACTCTTTTAACACTTCCTTTTAAAACTTTGCTTTAAAAAATTATTCAATTCACTCAAAGTGTCTTCTAGATCTATTAATTGATCTTAAGCTAGGTACAGTTTCACAAGTTTATTTTGATGCCAACAAAAAAGGAATGACTTTGGTTAATACTCATTTGGCTTGAGTCTTGTTAACATATACCAGCTGAACATCAAGATTTTAGTAAGTATATAAATAATAGTTTGTTGTTGTGTACCACTGAGACCCATAGCTGACCTTCCGGCAGATTTTCAAAGATAGTCGCACAGAGGGAGGTTGCCCAGCCTTCTCCTGAACAGCTGGTGGCCTTGAACTATGTGCCTTTGGAACTGCATCTTCTTGCTACTAGGCCACTAGAGCTCCTGACATATACCAGCTGAATATAAAAATATTACTGAGTGCGTCAGTAATAGTATGTACAGATCTCTATTTTCTATTTCCTATTAGCCTATCACTTTTTGCTTAAAAAAAGAGATTCACTCTCTACAGAGGATGGAGAATATGGCATGCCTACAGCAGTTCTGTTGGCGAAAAGGTTATAATCTACCGCATAACACTACAGATCACATTTTATTTCTAAAAACTTCTCCCAGCAATCTTTTTACTCTGTTCATACTTCAAGACAATATCTCATGAGGTGTTGAGTCAAATATCCTTTCTGCCCCTTCAGTGAGAAACAGATTTTACAGCTGTCAGGTTTCATGTGCCTCCTAAAACCTGAGGTCCATTGATAAATCATCTGGGGGTAGGACATAGGAACCAACAGATGGACCATGAACTAAACATATACAACAAACTCCCAAATTAAAAAAAAAAATTCTAATGTCTATTTTAATTAAAAACAAGTATTTTATGTTTAAACATAGCACATGTTATACACCTGTACAGTGACAAATAATGCTTCTACACACGTCTCTGGTGGCAAAGTTGTGGCAGCGCTCTGGCAGTTCAAATCCGTCAGTGACTCTATGAGAGAAAATCAGGCAAGCTCCTATGTGGTTTATAGCCTCCAAAAACCCTGTCGAGGCTCAGTTCTGAGTCATTTCCAAGTCAATGGTATGAGGAAAGGAGCATAATACACAAGCAGATGAACATACAACCACTCCTCTGATCAACATGGTTAAGTTCCAAAGACCATGTTGTTAGGTGTAAAACAGAACTGTTAGGAGAAAACTGAGGATGACTACATTATTACATACTGCCAAATCACGCCATTATTGTCAAATTACATCATTACACACCCATTAAAACACTAAAAACCATGGGCAGTCAAGGTGACACATAACCATCAGAGCCAGTGTTCCTCTCATGGAGTATGTTACTACCAAATGTATGTCAGTAATACACAAGATAGGTTAACTAGTAGACTTTGAGCCACTGTCATAAATGCAATATCCTATGAGACAGTTGCAAAGAAGTGTACAATTAACATTATCAGACTGTGATATCAGAGTTATCTTCCCTCCAATAGACATTAAAATATGTATTTACTTTTTGTCTACCTTGAAGTGAAAATAGAGACAATACACAGTATAATAAAGTGTAAGCAACTTTGGGTTTATCAGCACTCATCTGTATTGATGCTGGTGACAAACACAGAACACAGTATGCAAAAAAGGAACAAATCTGTCTTGGAAAATGTACTGCCAGAATACTTCTTAGACATGGTTGGCAAATCTTCATCTCATGTACTCTGAACTTGTTATGAGAAGGACCCAGTTCCTAGAGAAGGACATAATGCAAGGTAAAGCAGAATGAAGTTCAGTGAGAGAGGAAGATGAAATGACAGTGGCTACCACAAAGGGCTCACAGCAATGATTATGAAGATGGTGGAGAAGTGGCAATGTTTTATCCAACTGCACACAAGGCCAAGTCAGAAACAATTCAATGGCACCTAACAACAACGATACCTTTTGGGTGTATTTTCATCCATGATCATGATAGCGCATCATAATTCAAGTGGTTCTTATGTGACAAGTTCTCATTATCACACAAATACAAACAACTATTTAGAAGATACGTATGTGTACGTGCTTTATGTATACAAGGTAGAGAGAAGGAAAGAGCTATGTGAGAGGGCAGTTTAGTTAGGAATGGCTAGACAGTATTATCTCAACTACAAAAGCACTCTATTCTACAAGACTGATGATTGTGATGCCAAGTATACAAAGTCACACAGCTGAGCATCGTGAAAGCAAGCATCACAGAAATGTCCTAATATATCTGCAGAATGAAGAAGAAAAATAAGTGCAGTATCTATCTCAAATCACTCATTCATTTTGGGGAAGGGGACACATTTGCCATTTACCTAAAATTAGGACAGACATCCTGAAATAACTGGAATACTACTTTCCTTCAGATAAGACTTGTCTTTAGCCAACTACTAGTTTTCATTATTTACATGCACAGAAGAACATTAGAATAAAATAGTTCCTATTTTGGAGCCTTTACTGGAAACTTGAGCAACCATTAACATTTTCAAAATGATGACGTTTCCTTGATACTCCCACCCACTCCCATGCCCCTGACAAACATACACATACACAAATTTCTGCAGAAATCTCTCTATTCTGTAGATTAAGAGTGTACGGTAACATCTGACAACACATCTGGTGGTGTTCTGCTTAGGGTTAAGACAGAAGCCCCGCATGGCATTGAGATTCATCAGTAAGCACTCGGGTGCAAGATTCTTACCATCAATCTTGAAAGAAATCTTAGCTATCACCGTGAACGTATTCAATGGCTTCACGAGTGCCAAGCCTTGAATCACAGCCTGTGCAAGAAGATGTGTCATGAAATCCACTATTGTGAAAGTCACCACATTCATGATAGTGAAGACTTTAAATCAAAGAATTCTATAAAGAAGTTTGTCAAGAAACAGGAGCAAAGTTCACTGCCATGCATAAGTTTACTGGCTTTCCAAAGACAAATTCTACAGTCAGATTCTACCATTCACTGGATAAAATGCATACTCTTTTAAGTTTCACTCTTCCAACCTGTAACCTAAAATGTAGAATAATTATCTCCTTTCCAATCTAGCATTAATGGTGAATATTGTAAATAAATTTTTCAAGAGTCTTATATTCTATGGATTCCATTTATTCTTTCATGAGGATAGAGTACTTTTTAAAAAACAAAAACCAAAATTGAAATTGCCTTGAATATCAGCTTATTTATTTCTGCAAGGAAAAAGCAGAGAAAAGAAGTGTAATTTTTAAGCACGACACTTCTGCATTCTATATATAGTAGTAGTTATCAGTACAATTAAAAATCATAAGCAAAATTTACTTTCTTATATACTATGCACATTTTTCATGGCAAAGTATATAATTTTCATTAGATTTTCAAAAGGTATAAACATAAGCTTAAATCTAGTATTCTGACTCCATATTACCTAATGTTTACATTTTTGTTTTAAATCTCTATTGGAAGGTATGCCTACCAAAATGTGTGTTCATCAGCCTTATTTTAAATTTAAATTTCTACCATTTGCTTCTACTTTTGTATTTTATCATCTCAGGATACACAAGAGTATACTGAAATGTAAACTAATCTTTCATAATGTGCCACAGTAACTAAACCCCAACACTAATGTAAGACTCAGCGGTGTAAAATATCATCAACAAACAGTAATTTGGCATCCTCAAAAATAATTCTAATACATCATAAAGACAATTAAAGGTTTTAGAAAACAAGATGATGATACAGAAAGGTACTAGAAAGTAATCCCACACACAGCTCAAAATGATAGGCATGAATGCCTATGTAAGTCTTAATGCTGAATTAAGAAAAAATAGCTTAAAATAGGAGAAACACCTTGGTTATCAGTACTAAAACCAGAATAAATTAATCTGCTAAAGTTTTGCTATCTCCCTTCCAAGAGCTTTTTAAAAATCTTTCTGTCTAGAGTGGCTTGGGTTTTATCTCATTGGAGATGGGAAGAAATGTGTACAACTTCTGCATTAAATACTAACATTTTGTCATTTACCATTCAAAGAAAGAAATCCTTTAAAAAAAAAACTGTAAAAGTTCTCCCTAGAGTTTGTATTTTGCCATACCACACAAATAATTCCTTGATTTTCAACACAGTCTTTAGTTTTCAGGAAAAGAAGCTGAACTTTTCATTAATCATAATTATAGTTATATGACTATCCACCTCAAAAACAATTTTTATGCATTATAAGAGATCACAGATTATTAGGATCAATTATCATCCAAAGACATCCTCAAGCAAGTCTCAGAAATATCAGACTTACTTTGGTAAATGTGCTGTCTTTTTAATGCTTTACAATGACTTTATAAGTGCAAATGCACAATATGGTTAAGCAGTAAAATGTACTAACATGGTATAAAAATGCTAGAAAAAGCAAGAAAACTGAATCAGTTAACATTTGCTCACACATAAGCTGAGGCAGTAACATAAAAAGTTACAAGAAAAATAAGGCTTACCCACTTTAAAAAAAAAATAAGTTGTTAATTAACAAACAGGCTAAACATAAAAAACGAAAAAAATCATCCAAACCAAACATAGCTTACCTTTTTATCTCTGGTCCTTACTTCCCCATAAAAATCTAGGGCCTCTTGTGCCTTTAAAAATTTGCCCCGATGTAACAAATATGCACAAATCATTACACCAGTCCGTCCCTTCCCAGCTTTACAATGAATTGCTGCAACATGATTGTCATCTTCACTTAGCCATTGGTCAAGATCTTCGCAAAAGGGTTTGATAAGCTCTAGCTGTGGTGGGTTATGGTCTTCAAAAGGATACTGTGCAACTGTGGTAAAAAGAAAATCTCAGAATAAGAAAATATCTTTCCTGAAAGCTTTATTAAAATAGGTTACTTTAAAGATATGGTATATAAACCAGAAAGTGGTTGGTTAAAAAAAATTTGCATTCCAACAATGTATTGCCTAATGCTAATTTTCTAATTTTAATAGAAAATAATCTTTCAATAACCCCAAATGTATATATGTAGTAAAAACAGAGACCAGGTATTATTTTCTTTACATTCTTCTGGAAGAAATTAAACTACGCTGACTTAGCAGAGTTTACAGTATCTCAGAGGCAGAGTTGGACCCAAAGTAAAATGTTACATAGACTTCTGTCAAAGGCTCTCATTACATTTCTAGTGAAAGGTGTAACAGCACTAACTATCATATCGTCATAGTAATGAAGCATATTCCCAATGATAAGATATCAGGAGTGGAAAGGACTGCATTTAAATTTTGTATTTAAGAAGTTCAGTCTACTATTTAAAGTTGGTCTTAAAAATGTTATTGTTGCACATCCAATTTCGATGGAATTTACAAAAGAAACTGAAAATTAAATATCAATTAAAAGTACACAACAGTTTTAAAGTTTATCAAATAAACTTTCTGGTCTTTTTACATAAATAAACTCAAGATTCTCCTGGCCATTATAGCCAAAACTATGTTATTTCTAAGTGAATTTCTTTATTTGTCCAGATATAGGACTTTAAATATATCACCAGTAAATTTCATTCTATAGGTCTACACTTCCATTCTATCTTAAGAGCTTTAAAAATTCTACCTGATAAATAATATGCTAATAATTACCCTGTTATGTCAATGTGAAATATAAGTTTTATATCTTCAACCAAGTCATTCAGAATGTGGTGCAGGACACCCTTTGGTAAAAAAGGAGAGCACTTTCAGAACCAAAGCCCACCACTAGGTCACTAGGATATTTCACTCAGTTATCTGCCTAACTGAACAAACTCTCATTCCAATTTCATTTTCCTAGTGGCACACAAAAACATTCCGGAAAATCTGTTAAATGCCTATTTAAATAAAGCTAAGTAGACAACTACTTTTTTTGCTAATAAACAACTGCTTAAATACACCAAAAGAAGAAATAGTCCAGTGAATCCATACTAATTCTCAAACACTGTCCTCAAATTGATCCTGACTCCTTTCAACCCTCTATTGGGTGTCTGAGACTGTAAATATGTATGGGAGGAGACTGTCTATCCTTCTCCCACAGAGTGGGTAGTGGATTTACTCTGCTGACCTTTTGGTTACAGTGCAACACATAATGTCCCATGACACCAGAGCTCCTTCAATCTCACGAGTGCTTCTGAACTTTTTTTAAAAAACTTTTTTAAATTTTATTTTTGTGTGTCGTTGAATCAGATCTGACAGGTAGAAGAGGAGACTGCCCCTCCTTCTCCAGCAGAGCATCTAGTGGATTCGAACCATGTGCCTTCAGAATTGCGGTGCAGTTTCTTGCCACTAGGCCACAAGAGCTCCCTGCTTTTTTTTTCTTTCTTTTTAATAATTTTAATGAACATTTACAGAGAATTTGGATTTCCATTCATTCATTGCTGCACTTCTCTACCTGCCCAGCCCTCTCCCCCCGCCCCCCAGTTCGCTCCTCTCTTGAATGTCAATTCTACGTATTTTCAGGAGGAATCAATGACAAATACATCAATCTTTAGCTCATGAAACCCACATATTCTCTTACTCTGACTAGGAAGACAACATCTGTCAAACTTAACCCTCCAGCTGTGTCACAACTCAAGTGCTTCCACAAATAGAACTTGAAGCTTGGGCAGGCTGTGAGATATCATTTACCTGTGCCTAGGAAAGAACTCATAGAAAGCCTCCCAACTTTCATCTATCAAGATCCTCTTTTCCTTTGCTGTATACTTTATCCTACCATGTAGGTAGTTCTTTGCTTTCAAACTATAATCTCCTAGTATTACACAAACTGCTTTAAATAGTAGGTATATCTCCATCCTGTCTTATTCTAAGTTTTTCTTCTAAAAATACCTAGAAGTCCTCCTGACACTACTGAGAGAGTTATGTGCTAATTGTTTTCATAAAATACAATACAAAATTAAATTTTATGTTTTTCAACTTTAAAGATCACCTTTAAAATAAATACTTCTTTCACTTCGTAATCTAGAGTATTTACTGTTACTCTGGCAGTAAAGCTAGGATTTTCTATTTTGAATTATACAACACAGTACAATACATTGATACCTACCTCTGCAGTTAAATTTGGCGGTGTCATAATGTCTCTCAGCACATCTAAAAGAAATGTTTAACAACATTTAGATATAAAGTTAGATTTTCTTTCCAACTTAAAAAGTATAACACATTCCCTGAATCTTTACAACGGGGCAAACGTTGTGCTAAGTGTTTTATATATTCATTAGTTCTCTGAAACAGGTAAACTATGAAGTTATTGTTGTTGTTAAGTGCTGTCAAGTCGTAGACAACTCATAGTGACCTTATGAACAAAGACCTGAACACTTGTATAACTTTCATCGTTTCTTGAAGTTTATAGTGTTTCCAGAGGAAGCTATTTCGGAAGTTTCCACGCTTGTTTTAATTGGGGAGCTCCACCAAACACTGTCCACCATGGGTAACTATTATCTCATTTGACACATCAGCATCACAGTGTTTGTAATTATCCCCACTTACAATTAAGGAAACCTTTAAGGAGTTAACCTTTTATGAAGTCTTAAAAGGTTACTCGTATGCACATAGTTACATATTCACTTCTAAAACTTGTGATGCCAATAATATTCAACATTGATTTCATACATATTATCAATTCTTTTTCAGAAATTTTGCATGCTACTGAAATTTATTTTTATTTCACAAATAACTGTGAGCAACCATCTAGTTTCAGTAGTATCTTTACCTCAAAGTGAAGCATACACAGTTCCCAAACTATTCTTTACAAAGAGAAATGTTAAAAATAGTCAAAGACCAAAGGCAAAAGGAGAATAAGAAATGAAACGGAATACTGCTAATTTACTAGGAGGCAAAGCTTATGAAATTTCTTTAAACCTTATCTTTCTGCTTTTTTATAAGATAACAGTCATCTTTTAAAATGATCACAACAGTGACTAGGGATGACAGGAAGAGAATTGATGCCTTTGAGCTGTGGTGTTGGAGAAGAGTGTTGAACTAGAACAAACAGGTTTGTCTTGGAGAGGGTTAACCAGGCTGTTTCTTGGAGGAAAGGGTTCTGAAGCTTCATCTGACATACTTTGGACATGCTGCAAGGAGGGATCAGTCCTTGGAGAGGGATATCATGTTTGGGAGGGTGGAGGGTCAGCACAGATGAGATGGATTGATTCAGTGATTGGGGTAGGGCGAGTAGGTATGTTGGAGACAATGAGTTGGCACAGGATAGAGCAGGGTTTGGGGCTCTTGTACATGCGGTCGCTATGAGTCGCAAGCAACTTGACAACACATAACAACAAGGTGATAAATTTTAAAGTATGAAAAATTTATGTAAAATATAGAATTAGTTTAAAACCCAGAGCTCGTAAGATATTGATGTAGCTTTAATAGACGATGCTAAAATTTATCTTTTAATAGTAGTAATATATCTGTAATTATATACTAGCTTACTTGTGATTAATTGGCAATGTTTATAAGTCGGCTCAGGAGCATTCATTGGTGGCTTCAACCAGTAATGACTAAATTTGTGAAAAATAATTTTAAATAAAAAAATCAGCCTCTTACAAAAAAACAAGGCTCTTGACTCCATAATTCTAAAATCCAAATGGTTGCTTGTTGTTGTTTTCATGAGCCACGGAGTCAGAACCCGCTCACAGCTAAGCCTCCAGCTGTTTTCAAAGGTGGTAAATCACATAAGAGAAGACTGTCCCTCTCTGTCCTACTAAGCGGTGCATTCACAACATGTGCCTTCTGGCTGTCAGTTTAACTCCTCACCACTAGAGACTTCTCTCAAATTACGACAATTTCACCTGTTGCAGAACCTGATCTGAGGTTATGAGACATGGAGAATTATGAGACTGGAGTCCTCATTTACGCACTGAAGTAAAAAATTAAGTTTACTCTGGGTATTATCCCAAACCCCATTAGAGTATTATGTCATATACATTCTATGCTTTCATCTTTATTTTCTCAAAACCATTCTGAATGCTGAAATAAAACTGACCTTGAGAATCTCAAATATGAGTTTGTAGGCTGAGTTATAATGTGGGTGTTGTATGTTGAGTACTATCAAGTCCTAACCAACATTTTGCTGACCCGTAAGCAGGTTTTTAGAGGCAGTAAATCCTATGGGAGAAGACTGCTCATCTTTCTCCAGCGCAGCAAGCTAATGAGTGCAAACTGTGTACTTTTGCATTGGCAGTCCATTTCCTTACCACTAAGGCACCAGAAATCCCTGAGTTTTAATGCAGAAATACTAAAAAAAGCCAAATACTTTTTCTAATTGGCAGCATGACAGTGAAGAGATTGAGACTGTTAGTAGCTTCAGTTTGCTTGGCTCCACAATCATCGCTCTTGACACCGCAACTCAGGAAAATAAAAGACGAACTGCACTGGGAAAGTTTCCTGTCGGGGACCTCTCCAGGGTACTGAAAAGCAACAAAGTCAGTCTGGAGACTTAAGGTGTGTTTGACCCAGGTGATGGTCTTCACAATTACTTGCTATGCAACAGAGAACTGGACAATGACTAGAGATGATAGGAGAATCAATGTCTTTGAGCTGTGGTGCTGAAGAAGAGTACTGAATATATCATAGACTGCTAGGAGAAAAAACAGGTTCGTCCTGGAGAGGGTGAAACTAGGCTGCTCAAGGATTCTGAAGCTCCATCTGACATACTTTGGGCACATTGCAAGGAAGGACTATTCCTTGGAGAGGGACATCATGCTTGGAAGGGTGAAGGGACAGCACAGAGAAGAAGCCCCTTGAGAGAGATGGACTGACTCTGTGACTGGAGTAATGAAAGTTGGTGTGTCAAAGATAATAAAGTTGGCTCAGGATAAAACAGTGTTCAGAGCTGTTGTGCATAGGGTCGAAACAACAATAACAACAAATTTTAAAACAAATTCACATGAAGTTGAACTAATTAATTACAAACAAGTTGCAATTCACTGGTTTCTTATAGGTTATTATGTTTATGTGACATCATGTCACTTTCAATCCACAGAAACCCAGTAATCCTATGCACAACTCTGAACTCTGCTATATCTTGAGCCAACCTTTTTGTCTGACACACATACCCCATTACCCTAGTCACTGAGTCAATCCATCTTATTCAGGGTCTTCCTCCACCCTTCCAAGCATGATGTCCTCCTTCAAGGATTGGGCATCTTGCAATATACCCAAAGTTCTAATAGTTCAGATTTAAAATACTACTGCTCAAAATGAAGCAAAGTTTTGCATTTTTAGTTTACTGAATTTTGCTAAGAAAAAAAAAATACTTAGCAATGACGTGCATATTTGCATCCTTACTAAATATTTCATTTGTACTGATAAGAAAGTATTTTTATGGCAGGTAAGAAGATGACATCTGAACAATAATCACATTTTACAACTTATTTGTTACAGATCAGAAAAGAGACATGGTCAACTGTAAAGAATTCATAATGAAGCCACAAAAGAAGCAAAATAATGATCAGGCACAAAGAATAAAAAAGACATAGGATAAGAACAACTAAAACATTTTTAATATCATGTGGCTTCAGTTCTCTAAAGTTTCCAAACTTTCTCAGGAGATTAGAATGTTATAGATTCTAAAATTACACTACCACTGGGTATGTGCACATCTTACTAAGGAGTTCCTCTTATATGGTTCATTCTCACAGGCATATGATAATAGTTAGTATCATTTTTACTTTACAGTTGAAAAAGCTAAAATTCAGAAGGGCACTGAATAAATCTGTCCTAAGCAACAATGTTCACATGGCAGAGGCAGGACTCAAACCCAGCATCACCTAATCAGAAAGTTTGTTTTTTTTTCTCAAAGGCAACACACACACACACACACACACACACTACTTACTCCACATTTCAAAGCTAGATGTCTTCTACTACTGTTCTACACTACTACTTAAAATTTGAAAGCATACAATTGTTTTAAAAACAATACTAAACTTTAGTCAAAGTAAGACTTCTTACAATAGTATTTGGCATAAAAAAATCAACAAACAGTGGGGATGAAAAACTGCTATATAAACTTACAAGGAAGTATAATGAATATATGAGAGTATATACTCAGACTAGTAATGATGCAAGTGCCCCTGGGGAGGGGGCTGATAAAAAGGATGAAGACTTTCTTCCTCATTAAATCCTTCCCTGATAAGTAATTGCCTTCTGTCACACACTCACAAAATTTTCTTTTCAATGTTGTGTGGTAAGGATGAAACAAATCTTTTCACAAACCAAAATCAAAGATACACAATCAACAAATGGGATCTGCCTAGAACAAGTATTAGGTAAATGTAACTACTTCCTTATATTCAAAAGATTTTTACTTTTTATTATTGCATCTCATACATTATATGTAACAAGGGAAACGAAGTACTAAAAGGCAATTTTTATGACACTATAGATAAAAAGTGAAAAAAGGGATTAAAATTAATATAAAAGTTTCTAAAAAAATTTGACAGGCATGCTGTTCCTCTCTTCATGAAGCAATTATCAATAAAAATTTTCACAAATAAGTTGTAAATGTTGATCATAGTATGAAAGAATACACAAATCAAATATATGATAGTGTAACAAGGGAAAATTTTAAAAATTAGTACCCAAACAATATAAAAGTTCACCAAAGGCAAGAGCTACATATATACTTAATATTATTATTTATCCCCTCAAAAATTAAATAGAGACATCTATACAAAAGAAACTGATTAAATTCAGTGTTCTTGATTACTATACTGGATTTTGTTAGTAATACGTGGGTAATTTTGCCCTTTTTAAAAATAATTTCTTAAATGCCTAAATAAAATTATGACTTAAAATATAAAATAGGTATCTTAATCATCAGAACCTCCTCTTGAAGGGAACTCTTAATCCATGTTTATCAGAATTGCCATAAAAATTGAACATACTACTTGTTATAATAGTTTTTAAAAATTATTTGAGTGTTTACAAATCATATTGGCATTTCAATCATTCATACATATGAATATACTATTAAGAGTATGCAAGGTGAAAACATTTTAAGATCTTTCCATATATATGCAAACATATATATATTCCATGAAAATAAACTACACATAAAGTAATAAAACAGAAGTATTCACTAATCAAATGGATGACTTACTCAGATTCATAAGTCTAATAGAAGGTGAAGAATATTGGAAAAATAGTATCAAAAATTAAGACATGCTACAACTGGTAGTTCTACAAACATCTGGAGTGAGTCAATTTGGGAGGTTTAAAACAAAACTCAAAATGAAAAGGGAATAAACAGTGTGATCTGCTACCAAATGTACCTGTGTGACCTTGTTCAACTCACTTAACTTCTCTAGGTCTCAGATTCCACATCTGCAAAATGAGAAGGTTCGTCTAAATTATCTCATTCAGGTACTCTCTCTCTAGTTCTGAAAGTCTGTAATCTCATTAAATGGAGAAGTGAAATTAAAACATATGCGCTGAAAGTTACTCTTAACTAAAAAAGAGATAGCTCATTAACCTGGAAATCTAATGTCTGGAAATACAAAAATAAAACAGACATTCAGGCTACCAGGTTAACTCCACTGTCAACACCAAGTCAATGCCATAATCTTAAGTGATTTTTAACAATAATATCTTGACTCTAAGTCTACTCTGGAAGCAAGGAAAAGCTGCATAGAGGTATGAAAACAGTTTCCTTCAATATAATTTAATATACGAATAAATATTGAAAGGGGTAAATTTTGTAATTAGTGTCTTTTTACCTCACTTCTGAATTTCCTTAAAGCACCAATCTTAAGATGCCAAGACTAAACTGACTCCTTAAATGGACTCTACCATTTGACAGCTTTTGTCCCTCTCCTTTTTGGTGGTGGAGATAAATTACATTTTAATTACTTGTTTAAAAAGTACAAAATTTTGTGCTATATACTTCAAAAATCACATGTAACAATTGCAAGGTGGCTCAATGTAGGAAAAAGTTATTGAGAAAAAAAGAAAGTGCTCTGTAAATAGGGATCTAAACTTCAATTGCTACCTAATTTTTATTTATTTAACCTCATTTGCTATTACCACCATCATCATACACATACACAACTCTTAAATGTAATCACAATGGATCACGGTGCTATATCCCAAACAATGCTACAATGACAAGCTTCTTGCATGCCAATCCCTCTGCCTGAACAGTCATTTCCTCTCATTCTAGGCCTAAATCAACCCCTACTGACTAATTATCAGTTGACTATTTCCTTTCTCTATTTCCTTGGGTATATTACCAACATCTTATGTGTCTACTTTTCATTAGACTATACATTACATGAGGGTAGTATGTCATTATTGTTGTTGTTATGTGCTGTTGAGTCGCCTGTGACTCATAGCAACCCTATGTACAACAGCCCTAAACCCTGCTCGATCCTGTGCTAATCTCACCGTCTCTGATACATCTAACCCCATTACCCCAGTCACTGAATCAATCCATCTCAGAGAGGGTCTTCCTCTCCTGTGCTGCCCTTCCACCCTCCCAAGCATGATGTCCCTCTCCAAGGACTCGTCCCTCCTTGCAACATGCCCAAAGCAGGTCAGAAAAAGCTTCAGAATCCTTGCCTCCAAGGAGCAGCCTGGTTTCACCATCTGTAGGACAAATTTGTCCATTCTCTTAGCACTCCATAGTATAACCAATACTCTTCTCCAACACCACAACTCAAAGGCATCAATTCTCCTTCTATTATACCTAGTGATTGGCCAGATGCACAGCAAGTGATTGCAAAGACTATGGCCTGGATCAAGAGCACCTTAGTCTCCAGATTGACATCATTGCTCTTCAGTATTTTAGAGAGGACTTTCCCAATGTAATTCATTTTTTAACTTTCTGGCTGCTGGTGCCAAGACTGTTGATTGTGGAGCCAAGCAAACTAAAGCTGTTTACAATCTCAATTTCTTCACCATCCATCATGCTGCCAGTTGGTACAGTGGTGAGAATCTTTTTTTTTTCTTGATATTGAGCTTCAAGCCATATTGAAGGCTGCAGTCCTTGACCTTCTGTAGCAAGCACTTCTAGTCCTCCTCATTTTCAGCAAGCAGGGTTGAATCATCTGCATAATGCAGATTGTTGATGAGTATTCCACAAATCCCAATGCCACAGGGCCCAGCCTCCCAGATAATCTATTCTGCATATAGACTGAAAAGGTATGGAGACAGGATACAGACCTTGCATACATCCTTCCCAATTTTGACCTATGCAGTGTTTCCTTGCTCTGCCTCATGGTTCAAGTATAGGTCTCACATACGCACAAACAAGTGTTCTAAGATTCCTATTCTCAGTTTGCCACAGTTTGCTGTGGTCCACACAGTCTAACACCTTTGTAAAAATCTTTCATCTGCTTTTTTCCGTAAAATGCTTGTCTGTCAGATACTGTTCTAAATCTGAACATTCAGGTTAAGACAGACTAGGAAGAAGGATTAGCCATCCACTTCCAAAATAATAGGCCTTGGGAAACTCTAAGTACAATATAACACGCTTAGACTAGCAGACAGGGCAAATGAGGCAGAGCTTGCAAGTATGGAAGACACCAAAGAAACAGCTGTAACCTGACACTAGTGATTGGAACACTGAATGTAAGAACCATGAATATAGCAAAATTGGATATTGTTAAGGAAGAAAGGAACACATGAATATTGACATACTAGGTATTGGCAAGATGAGATGCACTGGCATGAGTCTGACAATCATATGATTTACTATGCTGGAGATGAAAAGGTGAGGAAGAAGGGGGTTGCTTTCATAGTTAAAAAAGTCATTTCTAGATCCATCTTGAAATACAATATTGTGAGTGACAGGATAATATCTATACACATACAAGGAAGTCCAATGAATACCACTATCATTCAGATATATGCACCAACAAGAGCCAAAGAAGCGGAAACAGAAGATTTCTACCAACTTTTGCAGTCAGAGATCGATCAAACATGCAATCAAGATGTATTAATAATAATGGATGACTAGAATGCAAAAGTCGGGAACAGAAAAGAAGAATCAGTAGTTGGAAAGCATGGACTTGGTGACAGAAATGAGGCTAGAGACAGAATGATAGAATTTTGCACGATCAACAATTTATTCACTGCCAATAAGTTTTATAAGAAACAAATGCAGGGTAGATATTATCTTCAGTAATTTCTGTATTCCAACATGCTTTCTAGTGTCTAGCGTGTTTGGTACCCTGTGATTTAAAGAGAGAGGGAAAAAAATCACTGGAAAGCAAAATCACTGCCATGTAGTGCTGGTCTTAGTAACTCCTTGTTTTCAGAGAACTACACTTCCTAGTTTTCATAGCTATGAATTTTTGGAAGTAGATCTATAGCTTTTTCCTGGGACCCACTGGGATCCATTCTAACCATCAATCTTTTGATCTTCCATGTGAGAAATCATTTACTCCATACTCTGGGGCTCTTGAAAACTCACTGCTGTTGTGTGCAACAGAATCAATTCTGACATACAGGAAAAAAGAATTGCTCTAGAGGGTTAGCCTCAACTGCAATTTTTACAGGAACAAATGGAAAGGGGTTTTAATCCATAAACTGACTAGTGGGTTTGAACCACAGTCCTTTCAGTTAACACCTGAGCACTTAACCACTGTGCCACCAGGGCTCCTGAAAACTCAATAGGAGTAAAAATTTTGGTATCTATTCCATTCTCATTACTTACAAAGTTTTGTGAAAGCAGAAAGCTAAGTATAATAAAGACAAAAAAGGCAACATGCCATAATACACTAACAAGACACAAAATCTTTCATTCTTTTCGTGTGATGATGCAAATGTCTACTAAAGGCTGAACACAATCTTGTTCTGAGAGACGATAAATAAATTAAAGAAATTGTAGCAGTGATCCAGTATATGTATATATATCTCCAACATTAAATTTTCTTTCCTATAGCATAATCTGTCAACAACAGCATAGCATAATCTGTCAATAAATAGGAAATTTAAAATAGAAAACTAATACACAGAGAAAAATAATACATTTCTTACATTATTCTTTAACATCACCAACAAAAAAATTATCAAATGGCCAGTATCTGACATAGGAAAAATAATCTTCAAGGTCAAAGTGGTAAAGTACTTTCCCCCATTTTTTCCCCATTCTTTCCTTTTCACATCTCTATTCTTAAAGTCAAAAGGGGAGAGAAAAACCCAACATAAGGTCAGTTAGCTCTATCAAATTCAACACTGCCACAGATAAACCACTCAATTCAATAACTTTAATCAACTTAATTATGTTACATGTAGTTAAGAGAATATCCTAATACCTCTACCAATAGACCTGAAGACACTGAATACATACAATTTTATCAACTCTGCAGTCTACCTCCACGAAAGATGATACCAATGATTTAACAGAAGTCCAACTTGAATTATACTTTTAATTACCCTATAGTTATAAGCTCAAAGATGGGCTAGATGCCAAGTCACTGAAAACAGATCAATGTCGAGATACTTTTCTTTGCTACACTTCCTAAATAATCAATCAATGCTCTCAATCAAACTTTTTGACCTGATACTTTTATTCTGTTAAAATGCACCTTGCTTTTTCTTTATATCTTAAAAGGATGTAACTTCCATCTAAGAATTATTTTAGAAGATACTTGTAAATACATAAAAAATATACTTACAGATTGTATATCTTGTAATGGTTTTTATGCTTTGAATCCAAAAACCTTAAAAAAAAAAAAGCCACCATTAACAAAATTAAGCTAACAATTATAATTTACATATTACTGAGAAAAACAAAAAAGTGAGGTTTTTTTCTAAACTCATAATAATTAAATAACTTCCAATAAATACTCTATGGGTTAAAGCTAGTAATAGCACTATTCTTAAGTAATTGCATTAACACAAATCTGAAGTAAAGCACGAGTTTTTCATAAGATAAATATTTTCATTTCTTGTCCTTGATATAGCAAGAGATGATCATTAAGAAATAGCATGCTTAAAAGACAGCATTAGAATTAAGCTCAAGTTCAACTAGTAATATAGTTTTCAAGAAGCAATCACATTTAGTCAAATACTCTTAAAAGGAATTCTAAAAATGCAGTCATTGTTTCTTTCAAACTAAAAAGTTCTATATTTGAAAGATTAAAGTAGTAACTATTAATTCTACAGAAAGCTTACCCAAAGCATTAACATTCTCATTTGACTTTCATAAGCATCTGAGATGTAGAGCTTCTTAAAATTTTACAGATGGCCCAGCAGCAATAGCAAAGTTCAACAGTGCGGAAGACTGGAACTCTTATTCACTGCTGGTGGGAGTGTAAAATGGCAGAGCCACTTTGGAAGGTGATCTACTGCTTTCTCAATTAGAAACAGAAATACCATTTGACCCAGCAATTCCACTACTGGGAATATACCCTAAAGAAACCAGAGCCATGACACAAACAGATGTATGCACACCATGTTTACTGTTGCATTATTCACAAAAGTAAAGAGACAGAAGCAACTCCATCAACGAATGACTGGATGGGAAAACTGGTACATTCACAAAATGGAATATTACACAGCAATGAAAAACAATGAACTTGTAAAACACTACACAACACGGACAGCCAGGAGGATATTATGCTGAGTGAAATATCTGTTATAAAAATACAAACATTATATATTTGCATAATATTGCTGTATTTGCTGTTATAAAATAGGACCAATATAGGGGTAGATTGGGAAGAGAATGGGAAAAGAGTAGAAAGATAATGAATACAGCATTAGGACAGAGTGGAAGAACTGTCCAAAAGGAATATATGATTAGGCATTAAATGTTTGACAACAGTCTCAAACAAGGAATACATTGCAGGGTGGGCTGAAGGAGGGAAAATATGACAAAAATGGGTTATAAAGAGTGTAAGGGACTTGAGTGGGGTCATACAGCAAATCAGTCCTAGAATCTCTATTTTTAAAAAATCCGTCCTTAAAATCCATCATTTGTTACAATCCATCATTTGTTATATTGGGGATTGGGAGAAAACTTAAGAAAAGAGGGGGTAAATTATGAACCTGCATTGCAACAGATGAAGGAAAGAACTGTTTAAAATGAATATATAATTGGGCATTATTTGCACCACAACAGTCCAGAATAAGAGATGCATAGCGAGGGGGGAGGGGGGGCACTGTGCAACAATGAATGAAATTTTTAAAAAGAAAAGCAAACGTGGTGGGGAGGGAGGAAAATGTGCAACAATGAATGGAAATCCAAGTTTTCTGTAAACTTTCATTAAAATTACAATAAAAAAATTATAAAAACAAAACAACCATTTGTTAAGAAACTAAACAGTCATTCAGTACTTTACTACATGCCAGGCACAATTCTAAGAACTTTATATAAAAATTATTTAATCCTCCACTCTATGAGGTAGGAAAAGAAGGGTTCAAAACATATGCTGTGCTGTGACTAGGTGCTGTGAAAGTGACTTCAAGTGATAGAAAGCAAACCTATGTAGCAGAGTAGAACTATTCCACAGGGTTTTCTGGACTGTAATTTTACAGGAGCAGAGGGTCAGGTGTGTCCTTTTACAGAGTTATGAGGTGAGTCCCAACTACAAACCTTTTATTTAGAAGCCATGCACTTAACAATTACACACCAGTATTTTAAGTACTTCACATACGTGTGCACGCACACACACTGGTTTAAGGCTCCACCTTATGTGAGGAAGTGAGACAGGCAATCTCCGCCTATACAAACCCACTGGAGGCTCTGCTATAGTCAATTCCAACCTGATGCCACATAACAACACTAACCACCATCTTATGAGGTTGGTAACAGCAGGGTTAGAGAGTGTAAGGTTAAGAAACTTAAAATAGGAGGGAGGGATTGTAAAACAATGAAAGAATTTTTCTTTTACTTTTCCAAAAGGGGAGTGTACTGGGGGGAGAGGGTTGGGAGGGGAAAAAAGTACAACAATGAATGAATTGAAATCCAAAGTCTCTGTAAATTCTCTTTGAAATTAATAATAAAAAAAATTTTTTAAAAGTTACAATAGTTAGAGAAGAGCATTAACTAAACTAAAAAGACAAAGTAGAAAACAGATTTTTTTTAAATCTTCAAAAGTGTTCAAAGTAGGAACTCTAGAGACGATACAATAAAGAGTGAGGAGAGGAAAAATTAAATTTAAAATCTCAAAATATATACCTCAAGAAAAAAATCTAAAACTGAAAAACATCAGTCTCTAAACTTAAAAGCACAACGTGCACACCCACGTTTATGGTGGCTTTGTTCGCAATAGCAAAGAGCTGGAAACAACCTAATTGCCCATCAATAAACGAATGGATAGAGAAGCTCTGGTATATTCAAACAAAGGAATACAGCACTGAAAAACAAGGAACTCATGAAATATTATGCAAAATAGATGACCCTGAAGGACATTATGCTGAGTGAAATATCTCAGTCACGAAAGGACAAATACTGCATAATGCCACTATTGTAGAGTGGGACTGACATTGGGGTTGAGGGAAGACAGAAAAAGAGGGGAGAGGAATGATGTATATTGCATTGAAACAGACAAGGGAGAGAACTGTTTAAAAGGGATATATGAATAGGTAGTATTGTCATGACAGGAGTCCAGAGTGAAGGCTGAATAGTGGAGTGGACTTGGGGGGAGGGATTACAAAACAATGATAAGAGTTTTTCTTTTCAAGGAGAAGAGTAAATTGGAGGAAGGAGGTGGGCAGGGAGAAAAATACAACAATGAATGACTGGAAACCCTAAGTCTCTGTAAACTTTCATTAAAATTAATAATTTTTTTTAAAAGCACAATAACTTATAAATTAAACCCAAAGATAATTTGTGAAATGTCTGAAGAGTGAAAAGACAAACAGAAGACACTAAAAGTAGCCTAAAAGAAAATAGCGTTTCATAAAAGGATTTTATGGTATAGCCGCTGTGGAGAAGAGTTTGCTGATTGTGAAGCAATGCTTTTATTGTCTATAACAGCTTTCCCAGTCATTGATTTTTACGTTCACCACTTGGCAGGGCTAGGAAAGAAAATGTTTTGTTAGGTGCCATCAAGTCAACTGTGACTCATAGGTAGCACAAGAATAACAGATGTTAAACCTTGCCATGTACTGCACCGCTCTCACTAGCTCTGATACACCTGAACCCATAGAGTCCTTGTGTCAATACATTTTGTGTTAGATCTTTCTTTCTGACTCTCCATCTTTTCCAGCATGATTCCTCCCCACCCCCCACCCCCCACCCCAGGGCTGGTCTCTCCTGAAAACATGCCAAAGCATGTGGAACAAAGTTTCACCATCCTTGTCTCCAAGGAACACCCTGGTTGCACTTTCTCTAAGATTTGTTTGCTTTTTTGGCAGTTTATTTGGGACTCTTCTCCAGCACAATTCAAAGGCACTAATAGAGAAAGCAACTGAAAACACCATAACTTAGATTAGGTGCACCTTAAACTCTTGCTTCTGCTCATGCAAAACCTATACTTGTACAAGGAAGCAGTCCTCAAAACAAAGTGAGGAAACACTGCATGGTTCAAAATCAAGAAAAAAGTGCATTAGAGATACCTTTTCGATCTATATGTGGATTCAGGAGGCTGAACTTTAATGCAACATCAGAATTGGAGAAAGATTCATCAACCACCTGCAATACCTGAAGTATCTGCTGCAGAAAGTCAAGGACTGTAGTCTTCAATATGAATTGAAGCTTAACATCAAAAAAAGATTCTCACAACTGAACCAATCAGGAGCATCATGATAGATTGAAGAGATTGAGATTGCTAACAATTTCAACTTGCTTGGTGCCACAACCAACACTCTTGGCACTAGCAGTCAGGAAATCAAAAGATGAATTGCACTGGAAAAATCTGCTGTCAAGGGACCTCTCCAGAGTGCTGAAGAGTTAGGATATCAGACTACAGACTAAGGTGTGCCTGATTCAGCCCATGGTCGTTTCAATTAGTTGCTATGCATCAGAGAGTGGGACAATGAATAAGAGTAACTGAAGAAGAATCAATGCCTTTCAGTTGTGGTGTTGGTGTATTGTACATGGACTAACGAGAACAAACAGGTCTGTCCAGAGAGAGTGATACCAAATTATTCCTCGGAGGCAAGGATTTTAAAGCTCCATCTGACAAACCTTGGGCATGTTGCCAGAGGGAACAGCCCTTGGAGAAGGACATCATACTTGGCAGGACGGCAAAGGAGAGGAGGAACACCCTGGATGAGATTAACTGACACAGTGACGAAGGTAATGGGGTCAGATTGTCAGAGATAGTGAGACTGGCTTAGGATAGGGAAGGGTTCCAAGCTATTGTGCATAGGATCACTGTAAGTTGCAAGCGACTAGACAGCACACAACAACAGTCTTTAAAACTGATATGAAATAGCATATGTGTATGTGACTCATGATGGAACTGTTTTTCCCCCATCCCATCAGATTTAAACTAACCAGCAGAAGATGGGAATCTCACAGCAAGGAAGGAGAGACTGTAGCTGATGTCTTTCTGGCCAGAGATTCCTGAATCAGTCAAACCAGGAACAACAGTCAAGAGTGGAGAATCTGAGACCAACACGAGATGGACCAGGCAAAGGGACTGTTAACCCATGGAGCCAGAGTTAAGGGCCTTTGAGGGAAGACACACTGTGAGAGGAGACACCATAATTGGCAGGACTAAGAATTCTGTAACATGATCCTGCAACTCTAGGCTTAAGATCAAAGGAC